CCTATGTTTACCTTTTTCAGTCAAGTGCAAACCAAATCTATGTCTACTTTTTGACTCTAGTGGAAAGCAGACCTTCTAGGTCAAGGGTTCTCAACAAAGGGGAATTCCTACTACCTGACTCCCCCCCAAAAAAAACTGGGGTAGGGGACAAGCATGATTGGGAACCCCAGGCAATACTTTGTGACCCTTGCTATCTTATCAACATTTGCATTTTTCTACCTACTTAGGTTACAAATTAAACTAAACACAATTGACTGTTAAAGGAAGAAAAATCTTTGTGGATTTTGATGATATTCTTGGATCATTTTTTTTCGGCCAAATCCATGAATTTGTTTTGCTCATGCTGTCTCAAAAAATATGATATAAAATTCACTATTTTTTATCCATAATACTGAATGCATTAAAATTAATTAACTTTATAACAAGAAAAATCTCAAGTTGATGTTAAAAATTGCCACAGAACATCATTGATTTAAGATGGAATGATTTATTATGACATGTCTCTAATTTGTATTGAGATCCATTGTATTTATTTTCAATTTTGTCTATTTGAATTGTTCCCCTATATTGCATTTTATCCATTATTGTACATAATTTGGTTACAATAAAATTTGTATTTTATATGAATAGAACCTTATGAAACCCTTGTACCAATCCTAAATACTTGAAGACTTGGATATAAACAAGACTAATGTTTATCTTTTTGACTCTAATGTAAACCTCTGTCTATCTTTTTCAGTTAAGCGCAAACTAATGTTTTTTTTTCTCTCAATTTTAAACATGACCAATATGTTCTTTTTTAACTCTAGTGTAAAGCAGACATATTTCAACTCTACATTAACCTAGACATATGTCTACCTTCTTACTCAAGCATAAACCAGACAAATGTTGACCTACCTATTAATTCATTGCAATTTATGTTCAATAAGTCTTATATCCAACATTAAATAATCCATCAAGGATTTAAATGTTAAAAAATCAACCTGAACTAAAAGTATTTATATAAGTTTATTTACTTCTAATTTAAACAAAAGCTGGTTACTGTGCATTGAACAGGATAAAGACTTGTTAAATACTCATTTTAAATACTCATTTTAAATACTCATTTTAAATACTCATTTTAAATGCTCATTTTAAATACTCATTTTAAATACTCATTTTAAATGCTCATTTTAAATACTCATTTTAAATACTCATTTTAAATACTCATTTTAAATACTCATTTTAAATCTAAATAAAGTGGATTGTTATTGGATGGTTCGTAAAAGTTCTTCTATGTGCTGTATCCCTTCTGGATATAGGCGATCATGGCTGTCCACAACTTTTATTTTGTATGGCTATTAGCAGTTTTTCTCACATTGTTAATCTCCTAGTTTGATCCATGTGTATATATAATTATCTGTTTGATCCATGTATATATCTAATTATCAATGACATCCATGTATATATCTAATAATCAATTTGATCCATGTATATACCTAATTATTTATTTGATCCATGTATATATCCAATTATCAGTTTGATTCAGGTACATATCTAATATCTGTATCATGTATATAATATCTATGTCATTTATATATCATACCTGGGAATGGTATGAATCCATCAGTTCTCCCTTCAGCTATGGGTTGAATAGCAGGACAGACTGTGACTTCTATTCTTGGTTGGTAACTAGTCTACTGGAGAAAGAAATGGCAGCCTACTGTGAGAAAATTTGTTGTCGGCTTCATCTCATATCCAAGAATTTAATTTCTTCTTTACTGATCACTTTCTTTATGATGATAGTGTTGGTGACTAAGTAGATCGATTCTGGCATTGAAGAAACAATGGTATTGACTATATAGTAATTTTGGTGGAGGACAATGGACTTCTTCCTTTTCTCTTCTGGTGATTTTGAGGTTTTTAGATCTGATGGTGATGGAAGATCACCAGTTGGTATGGTCTTGTGCTTGTGTTTCAAATGTTTTAGGCTCAAGTCCAGTGATTTTCAGTGTTGTTTTGAGTTGATCCATGTATATATCTAATTATTAATTTGATCCATATTATATATCTAATTGTCAAAGATCCATATATATCTAATTATCAATGTGATATATATATATATATATATATATATATATATATATATATATATATATATATATATATAATCATCTTTATGAAATGGACAGAGTCTTTTAATTTTAAGACATTTTTTATGTTTATACATTCTTTTTTATAGATACAAATATTTAAGTAAATGCTCTGTTTATAATAAACAGTATTAAACAACATTTACCGGCCTGAATGTTTGAGAAATTGTCATAGAAAATATGTGTCCTCCGACAGGAATCGAACCTGTATCCTATAATTTCCGATTGTCATATAAACCCAACTGTTTTTTTTTTTTTTTTTCAAACAGATTAAGATTTCATTTGGTTAGCATATATTGTCCCAAATACTTCATGTTAGATAAAAAAAAAATCCCATTTATCTAAACTAAGTTTTAAGCTGTATTGATTTATTCTTTCAAAAACTTCTTTAACATGTTTGGCATGTTGTTCTCGGCATTCACTCTTAATTAAGAGGTTGCCAAAGTAGGCTATTGCAAAGTCCACAGCATTCAATAACATATCCATGATTTGTTGAAAAATGATTGGTGTGACTTTTATCCCAGTCTGTTGAATTTATACAGACCCTTATGCGTATTTATAGTTAAATACTTTGCACATTTTTCATTGACATGAATCTGGAGGTATACCTCAGACAAATCCAGTTTTGAGAACACTCTGCCATCATTCAATTTTGTGAAATATGTCTTCCAAACTCGGCAGAGGCTAATTGTATGTTTCCAAACAATTGTTCAATCCTGTAGAAAAATCTGCACAGACTTTAATTTTATTATTTTTCTTTTTCATGTAAATGGTAGGGCTTGCCCACTCACTGTAGTCCATTTTGCTTAACATGCTAATTATTTCTAAATAGTTCAACTCCTTACTAATGGAAGTTTCAGCTGCAAAGAGTATCTTCCTTTTTGGTTTAAATTTAGGCATCACATTACTTTCATATTTGAATGTCGCTTTAGCTCTGGTGCACCTACCAAGACCCTCAGAAAAAATTTCAGGAAATTTTATTGTTAATTCATTTTTTAAATTTTTCTACTCTGTTTGATACTAAAGCAGAATGAATTAATTGGTTGGTTGAGAAGCTCAAATGACTCAATCTAATCTATACTGAACAGGTTCTGTGTTCGTTTCATAACAAATTCTTTTAATTTTATAGTTTTGCCCATAAATGTCACATTTGTGTAAAATCTCCTTCAGAATTTAGTTTAATTCCTGTAATGCTATGATCAATGCTTTTTGGGATCAATAAAGTTGGTCTGCCAATTTTTTTTCAAGTTTGTTCATTTATCAATGTCAGATTTGAACCAGTATCCAATTGGAATTTATTTTTCTTGTTCATCTGTACATTCACAAACTTTCTTCTCATTTTTATTCCTTTGTTTTCCATTGAAGTTTAGTTAACTCTCTTTTCCATTTTTGACCCCTTTTTACTTTTGGATTTTCTGCAATGTATATGCTTGCATCCTTTTTTGCTACAAGCATTCTCCTTTTCTTATTTTTTTTTTATGGACATTCCTTGTAATAATGAATCTGTTCACAGCCATAACAAGGATTTATTCTCTGGGCAACATTTTTTTATATTGTCTTTGCTTAACTGTCTGAATATTTGACGTGTCATGTTCCTTGATGTTTGCCATGTTGTATTGAAGATTTTCTGTTCATTCGCATTCTTCTGTGACCATATGCAGGCTGGTTTTGGGATTTTGTTCTAATTTAGACAAAATTCTCATTCTGATCTCTGCATCCTCTGGAGCCATTAGTCCTTGTACAAAAATCAAGCACTTAAACATATCAGGAATAACTTCTTTCAGTTTAAACCTCTCACACTCTCTATTGACAATCCCAGCAAAAGTCGAGTAATCTTCCCCACTTTTCTTTTTAAGGTTTAAACATTGCCAACTTGTATTGAAAAGAGAAATTTTCTCCCTTCAATTTTTTTCTAGAACTAAGAGAGTTTCCTCAAAAGACACTTCCCCAGGCTTTCTCAGAAGTATGTAATTTGCATGTTCACCTGGATCAAATTTTCCAAGCAACAGATGTATTTTCTTTTCATCAACCATGTAGCACAATCTTTTTAAAAGACTTCTTCATAAAGCAAAAATATGATGCAAAGGTTACCTCCTCTTCAGGACTGTACTTAAATTTGCTAATTTATTACTGAATCCTGAGAAAAAGAATTTGCATTAGCTTGCTCTTTTTCCTTTTTTAACCCTAACAATTTGAACATTTTTTTGAACCATTCATTTTGTTTCTCAGATAATTCATGATTCAAACATTGTTGTCCTCCAACTGTTCATTTTGTTTCTACTGGATTCTCATGAATTCCAGCATTGCTTCTTTAAAATCCTCTATGTTTCTTTATAGAGACAAAATTTAACTGAGCAACCAGACAAAATTCTTTCTTGTTTTTACATATCCAACCAAATTCGTCCAAGGTTGGTTAGTCACCAAATAATTTCTTGGTATATGACAATAAATTTTTACACTCAAATCCTCAGTCCATGGTAATAAAATTTGAATTTTCTTGTTGTTATCCGCTGTAAATTTCGAATCCTTTATTGCTAAATGTTGTATCATGAAATGGTTAAGCTGATACAAATATAAAATATAGGAGAAATTTATTCTGAAGAATAATATGGTACTAACAGTTGAGAACGTAGTCTACTGGAATAACAGTTGTGAACTTCAGTTCTGTTCAACTTCCACTCTCTCAGTAAAAGAGCATGCTATTTATCTTTTTAGATCAGTCCATCTTGTGGGAGTGCTCTGGCATTTCACAATAATTTCTTACCTTTATCTACCTATAGAGTCTATAAACTATTCATACCTGTATATATCAATGTATCTCGGAATCTACTTATACCATTGTCTCCATGAAACAATCTGCTTAACTGATGGCTATATTAAGTTGTAACACCAGTTCCTGTACAATCACCAAAGTTAAGCAACATTAAACCTGGTCAGTACCAAGATGGGTGACCACTTGGGAATACCAGGTGCTGTAAGCTTGGCTATACTGGTGGTATAATAAATAATGGCTCAGAATTGTTAATCAAGGAGCTGAGTTCCAATTCAAGTAGGGTTTGTTATATTCACTTACGTGCAAATACTCTTGAGAAAGGTATGAATCCACCTCTTCTCCCCCTGGCTATGAGTTAGTCAGAATTGTATCACTAAATCATTATTATCTCCCTCCCCTCAAAATCTTACAATCTAAAAATATTTTCTGGCTTTAAATAACCTGCAATGGGTTGATAAGCCATAGAGAACGAATCAATCAATCTATTTCAATTTCCTCCTGTTTATAAAAAATGTTTTACAGTATGTAAAATATTTGTGCAAAATCTGGAAATTATTTTTACACTTTTTTTTTTTTTTGTTATATTACACATTTATAATTCTACCATTATGGATATTTCTGCCACATCTGATCTGATACTTCTGGTATATTTTTAGAGATTCTTGATAAAATCCAAAGAAGAATCTGCAATGTTATTGGTTCTGACCTGGCACCTCAGCACAAGTAACTTTCCCACTATAATAACATAGCTTCCTTTTGCATTTTCTACAAATATTTTTATTGTAATTATTCTGATGCACTTTCCTCTTTCATAACTAGAATTTGTGAATTAAAGTGCAATACTCGATTGTCTCATCATTTTACAGCTGAAATGGCTAGATATAATCATAAGTTCTATGCTAACAGTTTCTTCTCTTGCACTTCTTACTTGTGGAACTCTCTTCCAGACTCTTGCTTTCGAGTCAACTTTGATCTTCAAAAATTTAAATGCAGTGTCAATTGTTATCGTCTGTCTTCTTAATTCCTATTCTTTTATTGTTCTCTATCCTTAATAATGTTTTCTTTTTTCATCTTCTCTCACACTAATCCCTGATTTGGAGAAAATATTAATATTATTGGCAAGAAATATAACTTTTGCTTCCAATGTAATAGCGAATATTATAGAGTTCTATTGCTTGTATATGTGATGGGATAGATAACATCAAAAGGAAAAGAAATGATGAAAAGTAAGACTTTCTGCTCATTATATAAAGTTGAATTTTACTTTTCATTCAAATTACATATCAAGAAAAAGATACATATAGAAAACAATTCGCAACGTTTAAAATCTCCTCACCACATTTTTATAGGTAAAGATATTTTTTTAAATTATATATATAAAGTCTGCCCAAATCGTTCTCTGTGCATGGATTGGTTAGCAATCAGGACTTGTTAAACTGTTTGCTTATTTATTTTTCAGAAATTTTTTCTGGAAAATAGAAGAGAGTTCTGTTGCTTTTATGCATCTGAATATCTCTAAAATTGTTTGTATCGACTACGTTGAAAAGTGGCAATAAGTAAGGGAAAAATTGTGGTCATATTCACAACTTTTTGTAAGTAGCTCCCCTTACGAAGCGAACATCTGTTGAAGTGTTGACAACATGTCATTTAGCAACATCACACTTTAAGATGGTTGGCCTCTTGTTGCTCTTAAATGTGCTGTCTGTAAATATCCTCACACTATGGCTGATAGCAGTGTTCATTTGAAATTTAAGGGGAAAAGATAAATTCCAGAAGCCTGCATACAAATTTCTTTGGAAGTTTTTTTAGACATGCAAAAGATTTATCAACCAATCAGGTTAAGATTTACAAAATTCAAGTTTTTAAAAAATTAAATTTTTTTAAGATTTGACTTCAGGCTCATTTTTTGTACAGATTTTGCTCAAGAGAAAGTTCTGAGCACAAATTGTTTTCACCACTAGTTTTTTGTGTAAAGGTTTAGTGCCTATTTCCTTCCAAGTTGTTTGGGATCAACTTTTATTAAAATATAGAATTAGGAAATCTTTTTAATTTTCTGCTTAAAAAAACTGATCTTTCAAATAAAATATTTTTATTTTTTCAAAAATTTTTTTTATTTATAACTTTATATATTTGATTGATGACTTTTTGTATTAAATTTTTCTTGAAATTTTTCGAACACATTTTTTTCTTAATAAATACTTATATGGTTCCTACTTACCTAAGATACTACTTGTACAATTTTCTCTCTGTACATATCTGCTTTCCTTGGAAATTATCTTTATTATTCCTCTTAATGAGTTCACTGAATATTTTCTCATTTGTATTCCCCAATTATGGGCATTATTATATCGATGATATAATAACACCTTATTTCATAAATGGAACAGAACAGCTGAAAGAAAAAGAATGATAAACATGCTTTGTTCTCAGAGAGAGTTTTATATCTCATGTCATACACAAATTGATATATACATATTTGCACATATCCAACACAGAGAAACTATATCACATGTCTACCTCAGCAAGCAGTGTGAAAAGAGAGAGGGTCTTATTTGTTATATTTCCTGAAGGGAAACTGGAAGTACAGCATTTGCTTTATGAACATGGTGAGACCATGTTGTTTTTCCTGTAAGACCTACTAATGTGAGTTGGAGACATCCTTCTTCTCTGGGCTTTATATTGTAATTCTTCATCATCACTCTATTGCTGGACATCATTCACCAGTTGTCAAGTGACCCTTGTGAATTTATCTCAATCAAAGTGAGATACTTGCCTTTTGCATCATTACATTCCTTTTATGTGCCTACTTACCTCAGAAACTACTTAACTATTTTCCTCCCTATAACTGTCCACTTACCTCAGAAACTACAATTTTGTCCCTGTATATATTTACTCACATCAGAAACCACTTGAAGAGTATACTTTCTTTGCATAGCTACTTTGCTCAAAAATTTCCTGTACAGTTTTCTCCTGGTATCTATCTTTTTATCTCTGAAAATTACTCGTAGAGCTTTCCCCCTTGATCTACTTACCTCAAAAGCTACTTATACAGTCTCCTCCTTGTATCTAGTATCTACCTACTTTCCTCAGAAACAATTTCCAGATTACTTATTTAACCTCAGAAACTACTTCCTCGCTGTATGTATTTACTTATCTTGGAAATTGCTTATACAAATTTTCTACTGTATCTTCTTAACCTCAGAAATTACTTATGCTGTTTCCTCATTGTATGTCTATACTTACCTTGGAAACTACATTTTTTCTTTTTTTTTTCTTTTTCCCCAAGCAAGGCAATAAAGCCACTATGATGCAAGATATTCATAATATCTAGGTACCATAGAGGAAAGTTCATCAGAACAATTACCATGAAAGTATTAAATTGAAAAGGCACAGGGAAGCTATGTTTCATTTATCAAGAATCTCTAAATGTATAGCAGGAGCACCAGAGCAGATGTGGCAGCAATATTCAAAGCAAGGCCAAATGGTAAATTTCTAAATATGTGAGATAGATTCTGGTGAGAAAAATTGTCTAGTAAGATATAGTGAACCAACTTTCTTAGCTTCTTTTTAAAATACCATGTCTCTTCAGGTCATGGGTGATCATCCCCATAGATTCCTTTTCTTTTTTATTTGTGAATTACTGTGGCTTTTTTGGGAAACATAGCGGAGTGGTTTCCTATTGCTTTCGTCCCTTTTTTCAATTCAAAATTGTCTTTCTCTTCAACTAAATGCCAACAAAGGCTATAGAGCCCATTCATCTTTGCTGTGGGAGGAACTAAATGGATTCATGACTAACCCAAGGGCATTAGCATGAATGTGAATGCAACAGACTAAGCTGGAACCTGAACACAATTTGTTGATTTTGTGGACCAATAACCATTACACTGACTGTATATCCAGCAAAACAAATATTAAAGGAAAAAAGGTTTTGTGACACAACATTAATAAAAGAAGTTATTTCAGCAAACATGGAATTAAAATGATAAAAAGTTCTAAGGTTAAAATTTTTTCAGAAAAATAAGTTTTTTTTTTTTTTTTTTTTTTTAAGCATTTCATCCCAAGCAAGGCTGGAAGCCATTGCATGCAAGGGGTTACAAGGGGTTACAGAGATTTGGAGGGAGAGCAAATAGGAGTGATAGAGGAAGGATGAAGAGAAGGATAGAGGATGGATTTAGGCATCTGGAGATATCGATTGACATTGCATTTAAATAGTTGGAGATTATAGCTATCAGGGAAACAGGAAAAGGGGAGGGAGTTCCACAGACGAGAAGCTATTGGAATAGAAGAAATGACTAAGTTTTGCCATTATCACTCATTCCATTATTGATGAGAGTTTCCTTCCTAACTTTTTATTTGATGTGGAATGTCAGCATCACAATTATGTCATTATTTTCTCTTTGAGTTATATGTACTATCCATGTACTATCCATATATGTACTATCCATTTAATTGTTGCTTCTGTTGAAGATTCTAAAATGATATCATTTCTGTTATATGTTAGAGTTCTTTGTAATTCTGTAGCATCAGTCCATGATGTTCAAAGAAGGGTGGTCTTTGACAGACCAACAGGCTTCACTCACTTAAAGCCATTTTAAGCCATTGATTTTAGAAATCAGTTGCATACAGCTGGCAATTTAGATATTTCCGAATGGGTTTAGTACTATGCATGGCATCCACATCAAAGTCTCAATCTGACAATGCTATTTAAGAACATGACTTGAGTTTACAGGTTAATGTTTTGGTTTTGAATGCATTATTATCAGGTAAGTATTGTCTTATAAAGTTTATGGTTGCAGGGAAAAGTCAATTCATTTTGTTACATGACTACTCAGTTATTGCTCACTCTGTTTCCACCAAGTTCAAGTACACACTGCATGGATTCATGATTGAACTTAAAATAACTATGTCATCAAATTCACAAAGCAATGCTTTAATCCACTAGGCTATTGTTTTGTGGGACAATTCAGTATGGAGAACTTGGAGTCTTAAATCTAACTTGCCTACTGATGAGTGCTGCTGCTGCTTGTCATGCTTTATTGCACTCACAAAATCTATTCTAATATTAGAAAGAAAACAACCTTATTTTTAGAGTTAATTTCTCAGCTGCTTGTGTCAACCTGTCCCTGAATCTTTCAATTTTTTACTATTTAAACTAATTACATGTGGATTATTGTCCTCATCTTTGTTTTTGTTATCACAATATTTC